CATTATTTAAAATTTGTATGGATAGTAAAACATATTTAAGAGATGTTTATATCATAAATAACAAATAAAAATTACTATAATCTATAATAGGTTAATATAAATTATTAATTTTTAACATTAAATATTTAAATTCATTCAAAAATATATTTTAAAATTAGTGTCAAATTCATTATATATAAACTATATCTAGTATTATTATTAAAAGTTGATTTATTTAATCAAATATATTATAAAAGATAGTGTTATTGTTTGGTTACCATTTATTATTTTGTTCTTCTCTGCATGTTTTCCTTTCATTCCTCAAAAGTTGTTTATTCCGTTCCGTATTGTTCTTTTTGTTCTTTTTCCTTTTGTTCCTCTAATGGTTACCAGTAGAAGCCTTAGTTTCTCTTTTTGCCAAAGAATTTTATTTTATTTCCATTTGATTTCGTGTTTGATTTAGCATATGGTTGCGTTTTTCTGTTATGCTTGCATTAACATTTGAATTCTGAACTTTCATTTGTTGAAGCATGTCAGGATTTACATCATTTGCAACATCCTTGTTTTCACTTTGTATTTTACGATTCCGTATTCTTTGCGCTTAGAATTTAACATGTGTTTTAATTAATTTATGTCACCTTGTATATTTATTAATTTGTATAATAGTTTCGGTTACAAATGAAAATGGCAATGCATGCACATTCATTTTTTTTTTTTTGTAATTTATTCAGAGTTATAGATATTGCTTTTAAACTTTCTACATCCAAAAATGATCTCAAATTTTTAAATATTGAATACATAAATAATTAACTCGGTAAATAAAAATTTAAAGTTTTCCGGACGTACCATCCGTTAGATAATAGTGGGTTCACCAACCAAAAGAAAATATGGGATCACTAAACAGTAGTGGTATGAACGTTACAAAAGTGTTAATCATGTGGGTCAGCGTCTCTGAGGAATTCAGATTGGTGGTTTGCTTGGTGTAACCACAATGGCGTCGCTTTTAAGACCACGTTGGAAGTGTGAGTACACACATCAAGTCGGAGAGTCGTCTTCACGGATAATGCTCCCATTATGCTCCTTTTGATGTAAACAAACGAACGGCGGCGACGGCTTTGAATTATCAAGACCAGCGAAACTGAACTTTTTCTCTGTCTCAGCGCTGGAATTGAATGTATTATGAAAAATTTGATTCGTGGACAAGTTACGTATCGCTAAATGCAATGATCCTGCTAATGTTTTTATGTTTGATGTCGCAAATGCTCCTAACAAGCCAACTTAGCTAGATATTATAGTAATGATGGTGATCATAGCCGTGCTTTGCGTTAAAGAAAAAAGGTCACATGTTCAAAACTATTTTATTGGTTCGGTTGGTTCGAGCCGTCGTCTAACGATATGTTTTTCCTCTTTTGGCATATCTGTTAGTACACTAGACTGATCCATTTTGGCACATCTAGTAGTACACTAGATTGAATTTGCACCATTGGCATTGTATTGTAGCTCTTTTTTGTTTTTTTGCCTAAGATTAATTATATTTATGACTTTTGAAATTAATTCTTGAATTGTTAAACTAAAATTAAATAGTCCACATTTTATTTTAGCCATAGACATTAAATAGCATAGGTAAGACATGTGTGGTGAATTGGTGATGGAAGTTGTGGTGGTGCTAGTGATAATTTGTTATTTTATGACAAATATTAATGTTTAATAGTAGTGTAAATGGCGTTATCATTTTTCTATTCAAACATTAAAAATTTGTCCATAAAAATTTGGAAATTTTGAAAAATACAATTTTTTGGGATAATACTTTTTAAAGTACCATTATTTTTTTTTGTCCATTTTCAAAAATACCGCAAATACCAATTGATTTTTTTTGATAAAATATGTTACAAATATATTTTTATAATTTGTTTACAAAATATGTAAAATATATTTATAAAAATTTATAATGTTTATAAAAAAATATAGTGATTTTTTTCTGGAAAGGGTTATCATGAAGATGGTTTTTCAAAAATTTATTTTTGAAATTTATCTTTAAATACTTTTTGTTATTAAATAAAAATTTACTAAAGCAGAGCAAGTTGAAAGGAAAAGTCAAATTTCAGAAATGGAATTAAGCATGCGGACTGTACTAAAGTCGTATCTAAATGATTTAACGACGACACAACTTGCATTGAAATAATGCGTTTTTTACCAATTCCTACCGATATAAATAGCCTTCCCCATTTGCTTCTTTGGCACACCACAACCAAATACAAAACCACTCCTACTTGCAAGTAAAGAAGTAACTGAGAAGACAGAAAAATGACGAAAGCAAATGTGTTTCTCCTCTCCATTGTTCTCATGGCTTCACTCGCTTCCCTTTCGCACGGCCTTCTAATAAGCGGGCTCCAAATTCAGACAATCGAAATCCGAGGTGTCTTGCGTTGTACCCTTACCGGTGACCTAAACGCCCCTCCCGTTTCCGCTGCGACCCTCTTCGTCACTTGTAACGGCAGAGAGACAACCATTCCCCAAGTAGTGACCAATCCCGCCGGTACCTTCGCCATTCTTGTCAACATTTTGGCAACAAGTCTCTTCAACCCCTCGGACTGCCGTGTCACCGTACGTCTTCCTGTGGCCACGTGTTCCGTTTTCCCACCGGATGGCTTTTTAACTTCCACCGTTAATCTAGTCGATGTCATCCAAACGAATGTCGGAAATATTGCCAGTTTTGTCACTGGCCCTTTCCTCGTTCTCTGATCATCGGTGTTCCATTATTACAAAAATTAAGTACGTTCATGGGACTTTGTATGCATTTCCTATATTTTACGTTAATGTATCTGCAGTAAAGAGGGATATTAAGTGATGTCATCTATATGTCGTCCACAAGAGCTTATGTATATAGCTTTCCTCTTTTGTTGTTTCCTTATGTAATAATCCCTCTTGGTCGAATAAACTGTACGACGGCTAATGAGACGAAGTTTCTCCTTAATTTCTTTTCAAATACTTCTACTGTATAGCTATTTTAATATGTTGTTGAACTGTAACTGAATGCTATATCTATGAGTTCGCAGGATCGAAAGCAATAGGAATATAGGATTCAAGCTTATTAAGAGCTTCATTAGATATAAAATGATATATATCAAAAATAAGATAATGAAATAGCACATAAATCATGAACGTTATTATGCAAAGAAGTAAAAGAAGAAAAAACTTAAATTGTCACCAAAATCAATTTATTTTCAGATTCGTCTCATAAAAGATGAAGGAGGAGAGTTGTCTCAAGGTTAGGATCAATGTTCTCATGACTAAAACTATTTTTAGTAAACTACATGTTTGCAACCCTAAACTATATGATATCATTGACATTACATTAGGCTTCCTGGCCAAATTAATGGTGTTTTTTTATAGATGTTCGCGTAAAATTATCCGCCATTCATATTCTTTTTTATTTTTCTAGGATAAATAGCCGACCTAGTTTTTTCTATCTAAGGTCAAATTTTAATATCTTAACATTAAATCTATACTATTAAAAGGGAAGCATTTTGTATAAAGTGATCATAGTATATACAATTAAAAGGATAATTAAAAAAAACAAATCTATCTATATTTATGGAAATAATATTGATTTGATTACCATAAAAATATTCAATTAAATTAGAAATTAAACATATTCAATCTAAATTATTTTTTTTAATATTTTCAAAAACTATATATCTATACTATTAAAAGGGAAGCATTTTGTATAAAGTGATCATAGTATATACAATTAAAAGGATAATTAAAAAAAACAAATCTATCTATATTTATTGAAATAATATTGATTTGAAAAAATAAAATATTATCCAAACTATTTTTCATAAAAAGCATGATGAGAAATAAAAGTAACGAGAGGAGATCATAAAATCAAGAAACTAAATTCAATTTCAATTTTCAAATATCAAATAACATGTATGATACATGAACAAAAAATTTGAATTGTTAATTTTAGTTTTAAGTATTTTATTTCAAATATCAGAACATGAAATAACAGGTACGGGAAATTTGAAACATAAAATAAATCATCTAAACTAT